GTCGAAATCCCCTTCCGTACCTTCTACACGGAAGCTGGTATTATCGAGCAAATCAAGTGATCGAGTTACCAGAGAAGAAGAGGAAGAAGACTCATCAAAGGACGAAGAAAAGGACGCCGCGTCATAGTCGATGTGCTTGACTGCATTGCGGCGCTCGAGCTTCGGCTTTCTGCGGCTCCGCTTAGGATCCATAGAGGGGGATCCTTTGCTATGAGAAAAGAATCGAGGCAATTGAGGCATAGAGAACAAAATCCATAAAAATAAAAAAAAAAATCGAAAGAATCAGACCGATGGCTAGGGTTTTAGGAACAGTGGAAGAGACGAATATATATGCTAAGAAACAATTGGATTCTGCGAACTTTTTTTTTTCCGGCGAATTATTTGGGGGGAGAAAAGAAAAGAAAAGAAAATCGGAGAGAGAATTGAGGGCCTGCTGCTGCGGTGAAGAAACAGCAAGACTAGTAAACGCCGTCTGGAGGGAGATGGAAAAACGCGGTGCCAACTCGGATGGTGAATTTCGAAAAAGAGAGGGGCAATTTTGTTTGGCTAAAAATGTTACTTTGTCTTTATCTTTTTATTTTAGTACACTATTTTTTTCATTGATTAAGAAAAATAATGGCAAAAACCCTTCTTAAGCCCCTAAACTTATCCTAAAATAGCATTTAAACCCTAAACTAAAAATGAAATAGATACGCCTTCCAACTCCACTAACAATGCAAATAAGCCCTTCTCACAAAAAGACCAAACTGTATTTCATTTTTAATCACCTTGAGAGCATTAATACTGAGAAAAATTTATTTGCCTCGTTAATAAAATTAGAGGGTTTATTTGCTTTATTTTTAATTTAGAGGTTTAACTACTATTTTTAGGTAAGTTTAGGGGCTTAAGAAGGATATTTGCCAAAGTAATGTATAGCTGAAATTTTTTTCTATTACCATAATTATTAATATGAGTGGTTTTCTGATATCGAAAATGTCGGTCCTGTGTTACTTAATATTTGTAATAAGATTTTTTTAACATATATCTTAAATGTATACGTTAATATCACATTTTTATAATAAATTTATATAAAAAAATATAAAAATAAATATTAATTTAGTAAAGATATTTAAATTTATTGAATTTTTTTTCATGTTAATTTAGTAAAGGTATTTAAAATTTTTAAATATTATTTTTGATATTTTAATAACAAAAAATAATTTTTCTTAATTTCATATTGAAATATGAAAATATTAAAATGACCTTAAATTTCTTTTAAAGATTTTTTATGTTTGGGAATTTTTGTCAATAATTTAAATGACTTAAATAATAATATCTTATCTAAATAGAATAAAATATTTTTTATTCAAATAATTTAACATGCAAATAATATAAATTAAAAAAATTAGATATAATTACATTTTATCATACAATTCAAAATTTTAAAAAAAAAAACAACAACAAAAAAAAGACAAAATGCTAACCAGACACATCCTAACAGTAGCCATATTTGATATTTCACACGTAAATACATGATTATTTCAAAATAATTTAAAATATAATTTTTATTTTTATTTTTTGCTTCTAATAAATTTAAAAACAATTAAAACACTAACACTTACAATTACTTTATTAAGGTACAGTTTCCCTCCCTTTAGTTGGGTTCAAATCTCCATCATATCATGTTAAAAAAGAATTTAAAAACAGTTAAAACGAAAACATGGCGAAAAAAAAAAAAAAGAGGAAGAAGAAGTAAAAGGACCGTCCAGGTACCGACCCGCTTCAGCCCAATTGGTCGATAGAACCACGGGACGACCAAATATTTTCAAATGGAATACTCTAGACCTGTTCTAATGGACCATGAAAATTTTAATTAATAAAATAATGCGGAACACATATCCTCTCTTCGAATTGGTCACCCTAGCTTCAATAATTAATCAACTAAATTGGTTGGCATGTCAAAGAATCTTGTTTTAATTTAGGAAAACAACATTGTTTGCAATAAAACCTCAGAAAAAATAGCGTTGGAACCCACAACATAAAGTTATGGGACCTCATTATTTTTTTATTTTTATTTTTTTAACATTTTATCATGGGATCGACTCGAACCGTTACCCTAAGGGAAGAGAACATGAACCTTACAAGAGTGGTCAAAGCCACTTGACCCGGAGGCCAGGTTCTATGGGACCTCATTTTAAACAAGCCATATTGATAACAAATTATAAACTTGATATATTTTTAAAAAAAATAATTTTTCCAAAAAAAGGTTGGGGTTAAGAAAAATCGAAGGAAAAAAATCAATTAATTAATTTGAACAAAATGAAAATAATTAACCAATAAACAAAAAAAATTATGAAATTTGAACACATGATTCAAAAAAATAAACAGTCTTAATTTAGGGTTTTTATCATTAAATCAAAATGGGTGGTTTGAAAAGTTCTATTTATTTAATTATTAAAAAATTAGAGGGAAAGAGAGAGAAAATCTTTTATTATTTTATTATTTTAATTTATTTATTTAATCATATAAGGGGAAAAGAGGGGAATGAACGTAGACATTTCCTCTCTCAACCCTTTTATTCTCTTCAATTCAAAGATACAATTAAATGCTGGGTTCTAGTACGTTGAATTATAATATGACATTTGTTGTTTGTTTAAATTAAAAAATAATAAAAATAATATTTTTAATAACTTAATAATT